GGCTGCACTGGGTACTGGGGCTGTTTACTGCCACACTTATTTTTTTTTTGTTTGCCTTGGTAGATATAGATCAATAAAGAACTGTTATTCCTATTTTCTCATACTTTTGCCTGATAGCCCCTTAATTTCGGAATGATAGTAATTCGGAGGGAGAGGGGCTGCATCTGTCTATTCCAAGGGAGGCTCTTGCCTTTTTGGCAAACACCTGTCTCTCAAACCGAGACACTGGAACGTGGCTCTAAAGTGGCCATGTGGGATAGCAGAACCAAATTCCCAGGTGGCTGTGGTTTATGTTCTGATTTTGGATCATGGAACTAGGCAGAGAATTGCTGAGTGCTGCTGATGTGGCCCTGCACACTGTGAGTCCCTGCAGACTGGTCATCTTCACCCTGTGCCAGGATCTGTGTGATGCAGATCAGATGTAGTCTCTCCTCAAGAGTGTACTTGAAAGCTTTAGGGGAATCTTTCTCAAACAAGTGAGCAGCTTGTGTTAATGGACAAAAGGTTTGCTTGATTCACCTTAAATACTAGCAAAAAATGTATGGACTACAAGAATTTTGATACTCCTTTTGTTTTCCTCTGGTGCTTATGAACCAGCCAGAGTAGGAAAGAGGGTTTTGGTTGAGATTATACTCTGGAAGAATTCCCAGACCAGTTTTGCTTAAACTTGTTGCACACGAGATGCTAGGAATGCCACATGCCAGAGCAGGTACTCCCACAAAAGGGCTGCAGCCCATGGAGGAACGTCAGAGCACAGGAAAAGAGGGAGAACAAGGCTAGTGGAAGGCAATAGTAAGGGTAATTTGGAGTATAAGGACTAGCACAAGGCCTTTGGATGAGGCTGGATAAAGCCTTGAGCAACCTGCTCTGGTGGGAGGTGTCCCTGCCCAGGGCAGGGGGTTGGGGCTGGATGATCTGCAAGGTCCATTCCAACCCCTAAAACTCTATGATTCTGTGATTGCTTTTAGAAGTGTTTTTACTCATCAACAGTTTCAGCTATGCCTTTTCACCCTTAATTTCATAATTAGGTTCCTTATGAATAATTTACCGGTTGTTTTTCTGCTTGTAGTCACCGGACAAATGATTGCAGAGTTAAAGCATCTGCTGCTTTATACTTTGCTTTTCTTACTTGCTGTGTAACATTAGGCAATTTATCTGCAGTTCCATTCTGAATTTAGTACAGTATTTCTGACAAAAATACCTTATGGAGTCAGCTGAGCACAAAACAGGAATTTACACACCTATGAAATATTTAACCTAGCGAAAGAGCAAGATGGTAAAATGCTGTCAAATGGCTTATTAAAATTATTGGTGGGTTTTTTTGGTCCTTTCAGATGGTTTTAAGATTTTTCTGTGCATTTGTTCAAGTTAGGTGAACCCAGATTCGATTCCAAAAATTCCATTTTATTCATGTCTTCAACATGTCTTTAACAACAGACAAAGTCTGCAGTAACACAGTATATAAGGTTTAGTTTATTTTTTACCTCAGTGCAGTTAGTACCAAAAGCTCCACTTTGTTTTCCAGGAAAGCCACAGCTCCCCTCCAGAAAGTTTCTCACCTGGAAAGAGGCTGGAAGGGAGTGACAGAGGACTTGGTGTGTATTGTCGGGTGATGTTTGTAAGTGAGACTTTAATGTGGAATTACCTAAATCCGCTGAGGAAATGGGGACACCACCTGAGGAACTGGGGTCAGTCTATGGTCACAGTCTATGAGTGAAGCTACCAGCCCCTTGTGGCTTTAGCTGAGGCCTTTTGGGAAATAGTTTGCACCCCTTGAAGAACAGATTATCAAAGCACAGAGCTCCACTCCTCATGCTGCTTTCTTCCTGCAGGATGAAGCTCCTGAGCTACTCAGCACCTTGCAGAGGCAAGATATGGGTTCTTGTCAAACCAGAGAGCTAGTCCTCCCTGTGTGTGGGATGCTGTCAGTTCACCAGCATGGACTGGTCCCTTCTCAAGAGACTGTGTGGTGTGTCACATGGGAGTGACCTTGGAGTGAACCAGGAGGTGTGCTCTGCCCCAAAGAGCACTAGGACCACAAGGGAACTGTTGTTCCTTGGGACATGCTCCTGACCTTGCCCGGGTGAAAGAGCAGGGGAGTCAGTTGACCCACCATGTAAGCACAGCAGATCACAGAGGTTTGGCTGGTGGTGCCAGGAGGAAGTTGCACAGCCAGATGTATTTACACTTGAATGGACTGACCCTCTGACTGTTTTGTTTTCCTCTAGCTGAGACTGGAATGTCTGTCTTTCCTGCTCTTTGAGTTTGTGTATCCAGCTCTTAAATTGGCTGATCAGCCTGTTGTACTCGTGATGGCCTCAGAGGGACTTTGCTTTGAATTAGGACTCTTGGATGAGGATTGCAGTTTCCCTGAAAATCCTTTTGCTAGGGGCACCTTCGTGAACACAAATTGAAATGAAAAGTGCTGGAAAAAGCATTTGATTCCATTCTTGTAAAATGTAACTTATTTAAGTGGTAAAAGGAGCATTTGTGGCCCTTCAACACATGATGGATTCTCCATTTGCAGTCTGTGTTTTCAGCTGTTTCCCCATGATTCAAATATGCATTGAATAGTTCTGGGTTTCTCTGGCTGAATGAAGGAGGTATAAATGTGGTTTAATATTTTCAAAAGGTGATTAGTGCTTTGGCTTATGAACATTTTATTCATCAGTGCTTAAAAACTACAAAGCATGTCTAGAGTTATCGTTCCATAAGGGTCTTAGAGGTGATGGTTCTTCTTTTGGTGGTGTATTTAAAAACAAAGCAGCCAAAAAAAAAGGAACAAAATTTGTTGTCCTAACACTTCTGATATTCATCAATCAGATAAGTTCACCTATTTTATCACCATGCCACTGTTTTTTTTCTATAAATATTAGAAACTGCTTTGTTTCTTCAGCTATTTGGAGCTTAATAATTTAGTGTAACTGCTCATAGAAATTAATTGTAAATACAAATAGAGCTTTGTAATGCTCTGGTATCTCAGCTGAATTTATTTTCTTACATAATCTGCTGTTAAATGGAGTTGCAATTTTTTGTTGCTCATGAAAGCCCAATTAACAGTTCTCTGACAGTTTGATTCACTCCTGCAATGGTAAAAGACTTTGCCCTTCACTGTTTTTATTATGAGACATTTTTTAAACAGTTACATTCTCCCCTTCCCTCACAAACAGCACTTGCAAGTTTCCTTTGCTTGGGAAATCCAGCTACAGGGCTCTGACATTTGTCTGTTTGCACATCTCTATCAGTATGGGTAAATATTTATGGTAGGTCAGATAAATGCACATCCTCTTCCAGTCTAAATCCATTTCTAACAGGAAATCCATTGTCTTGCACAACAGGCACAGTGTCCACCTGCTTCAGCCCTCCAAGCTCACTCTGTTACCTGTACATTGTGGCACTGGGCTCCAGTGGGACAGAGTTTCATCTTTTTTTTAATTTATTAATTTACACTAGATTTTACTACCTGTAGATGTGTGTACATAGATGGATGAGGCTCAACAGATCCTTCAGCTTCAGTCTTACCTATCCATTCCAACAAAGAGAACAGTGAGGAACACTTTCAAATATGAATTGCTGGTTAAACCTTGAGCATGTTATTCATCCCATGCAAGTCTCCCTCTCCAGCTGTTCAGTCCTGGGTTGCTCGTTAGCCATGCTTCAGGCATACCTGGCATCTACTGATTTTTTTCCTCTGCTCTTGGCCTTCTTTAAGAGTTCCTGACAGGGGAGCTGATGCAAACTGCAGCTCAGGTATCACAGTTGTTAGCCAGAAACTGTATTCATTAGCAAAGAATTGGCATGTTCCCCTCTGGCCCTGGCATTCAATGAATGGTGCTGATCTGAAGTCTTCCAGGCAACTTCCAGGTGACATAAGGGACTGTCCACCACCCTGATCACCAGATCCTGTGTGCTGAAAAGAACAATGGCACAACTTGAGAACTCTGCATGAAAAATAGGTAAATTATGTTCATCTGTCCTTCTTTTACTTTATTTGCTTTTAACTGTACTGTTTTTGGTAATCTTAAATTGGACTAAGTTTCCTTTGCTGGGGAAAATATTAGTTTGCTCTGGAATGAGTTCATCTCAAAAGCCTAGAGCTACCTCACTTATTTTTCAGGTGTTTATCAAACTGAAGGAGTAGTCTGGGTTGATTCTAAATGATGCACTTACCCAAAATGCTGCAAATTTAATTTGAGGATGGCATAGAAAAAAACCTGGAGCTCTAATTCTGAAAAGTGTGTCTTGTACACGAAAATCCCATTGTTATTCCAGACAAGGAAGCAAAACCTTTGTCATTTTACAACTGTGAGTTCAGTATATAGAGCTACAGCCAGGTCCTGCAATTTGGAACTAATCCTTGCCTTGAATATTCCTTTTCAATGTTTGCTAACTACTTAGCTAAAAAAGAATATCTTTGAACCTTTAGAGTACAAAAGCTGGATGAAAGAAACTTATCTATAGGACCATGTGCCTAGACTCTTACCATCAAAAAAGAATATCCTATCCAAAGGCTCCTCCAGTTCACTGGGCAGGGAGGAATTGACTGATCTTGGCTGTGAATTGCCACTGCCTGTGCTGGGGCCTCACACACAGCACATCTGCTGATGTATGGTCGGATTTCTTCCTCGGACAGCGGCGTCACCGGTAAGGGAGCAGCGCTGGATAACCAGTAAGACTTGTCATTTCGGCTGGCATAGTAACAAACTTGGTTGATATTGCAGTAGGCAAATGGCATGGTACTAAACACAGGGAGGCAAGATCCTGCCAGACCTGAAAACAACAACAAATGATGTGAATTACTACACTTCTTTCTAGGTAAGTTGAAAACTTATGTTGAACATATTCTGGCCAATGCTGCTGCAAAACTATATGTCTTAACAGGAGTTAGGTAATTCCCAGATCCTAAACCTCCCGAGGCCTTTACCAAAGTGGCTAGTCATGTGGAAAACAGAAAAAGGTTTTTACCAAGAAGTATCTTCCTTTGACCAATAATAGTTTTGTCACAATCCAATATTTAATCATGGTGTAGTTTGTCACCATGGGAAACAGTTATGATAACAAATTTCTTAGCTATGCCAACACTGAAAAATAAATTAGGCAAGAGGTGGTGGCTGGTTTGAAAGGAGATTAGCTATTTACAAACTCATTAGGAGCAGTGAGAAACCAAAATGCCAGTGCTGATAAAGAGAAAAATTTTGTACAGTGTGACAAGCCGTTGCTACCAGTGCATTAGGCTGAAATCTCAGCAGCTATTCCACTGCCTTCCAGAAAGGTTTCACAGAATCTCTCAGTAAAATAAAAGGAGTGAGGGATTTTGTAGAGCCCATCCTGCAAAACTCTCATCAGGCAGACAGCAGTGGGAATGAAGAAGTGAATAGTTCATACTTGAGAAGTCCTTCTAGAACTGAATTTAGAGGAGTTTTATGATGACCTATTTAGTTAACAATAATCACTTCACAAAGTTCTGCCTTGAACTTTGTGTGTGAAGAGCTATTTCTGTCATGCCTCCAAACCCAAACACCTTCATTAGAGACATGTAACATTTCTGTAGAGAAGCCAATTTGGTTTATCACTGATAATATTCCTTTCCATACTAATACAGGATCTGGAGTAGCCTGAGTAAGGAAATGCCTCCCAAAATCACAAGAGACAAGGACTCTGTTCTCTTTGAATCTTATTTTCACTGCTGTTAGGAGACATTCTGTTAGCAACTGTTTCTCCTGGGGAATGCCAAACACACAATAGTGAAAACATTTTAAAACATCACTGCTGTTCTAAAAATATCTCTTTTATTGCTCCTCTAAACACTTCTTTTTTGTTCAGCTTATTAGGTCCTTGATCTTTCCTCCTCAGAGACTTCTCTGCCTCTTTGTATAACAAGTCAACAAGAATTTAGGGAACTTTTTCTGTGCAAATCGCCACCAATCAGTTTCTCAGGCAGCTTATTCAGACAGCTAATTTTAGTCAGAATGGTAGAAGATATAGAAGAAATGACCCAAGGCACCAAAAGGAGCTGTCACTGGGAGAAACTTGGCTTTGACTTTCTGAAAAATATTAGCTTATGACTCTTAAAAGCACAGAATTCTGCTGTACACATGGTGCATGATTTTACTGGTAAGGCTTACTGATCCTGTCCAACTGTGACTACCTACTTTAACCAGCTCTTTTGCCCAAGCTGTCTCTACAGTAAGAAAGGAGCAGATCCTCCAGGGAGTTATTTCAGAGTGGCCAAATGAGATTTCTGATCTAGGGAAATCTCTCCAGTGACTTCAAAGACAGCCCAAAATGACTCGCTGGGATAAGTGAAATAAACCACTCATGTCTCCAACTTCTAGGTAAAATTACTTAGAGGTAGAAATATTTTTTCATTCCATTGCATAGCAGCAGAAAGCCATTTAAATCGGTCACATAACGGGGCAGCATGGCCAAGGTCATAATAAGCAGTATAAATTAGTTCTGAGTCTGTAGAAAATAAGTAACTGATGATTCTGTAGTGTGCTCCATGTGACTTGTCTGTTTTGTACAGATCACACCACGTTAGACCTTAGCTGGAGAGCAATTATGTACTTCAATACATACCAAGATCTTGATTATGGGCTTTCTCTTGTCCTTCCAGGTACAGCAAACTATACCCAGTCCATAATTTTGGCATCCCCTGTGGGCAGAGTGGTTCTCTGTCCGACTGACTGTGAAGGACGAGCAAGAATCCACTTGCAGATCTAATTTGGGGGCCTGGTGGGCCTGGGATACCAGTCTGGCCAGGTGGACCTTATGCATAGAAGAAAGGTAAAAGAAATTTCTTATAGAAAATTGCTGGGAAAGTTCCGTGCGGGAAAGCAAGCGGCTGACTCAGTGTGAGTGATAAAACAAGCTCCAACTTTATTGTCCGACAGGCTCTTTCTTATACAATGCATGACAAGCATATAACTATCAATCATTTATAACTGGCTAAGCTCTAAAGATAGCACTCAGGTACTCTCCCTACTTGCAGTTACAGCTGTGAGGATTATCTCTTACTTTCTCAGGCTTGGCTGCATTCTTAGCTGTTTGCCTCAAACTTGTTTGTCTCACCCTCAAGGACAACTTGCCCCTGCCATCTGCCAAGTTAAATTGCCTTCTGCCCAGCTGAGTTACTCCCTATCTATATATAAGTTACAATCTCCAGAGCCTTGCTTGTACACTGCATTCCCAGGTGCGTTCCCAGGACTGTGTCCTTGCTCTTTTTAGCCTTCCCCAGGTGCATTCCCAGGACGATGTCCCCGCTCTCTTAGCCATTCTCCAACAGAAAATCTAGTAAAACTTCACACTAGCTATGTGTTAAGTGTTCAATGAGTTCCTGACTGAACATAATACAACTTCCCAGGCTGTCATGGACAATAAAGACACCAGGAGACTTATGTCATCCTTGCTGTGGGATAGAAGTGAAGTAGATTGCTCCTGAGTCCTTGGCAGTTGGCTTTTGTCTTGTGTCTCTGTCTTGTGCTGTGTGGATTAAGAAGAGAACTGAGGTGGGTGATGATGATTTCTCAGACTCACTAGGATGACTCGTCCGGACTGAATTTGAATCTTGCAGTAACAGTCAATGCCCCTGCCTCACATACATATTAAACCCTTAATTTATTCCAGAGCAGTCACAGTTAAAGTACAATTTTAATTAGTCCCAGACAGTTGTCCCATTAGCCCTGACTCAGAGATGCATGCCTACTGATATATGCTGTCTGAGCAAGGGTGGCTAATTGCCTTTCTGGTTAATAATGGATGCTGAGATAAATTTTCTTCCAATAGGTCTTGTTATGAAATCATTCACAAATGTCACTATCAGTGCTTGTGTCATGGAATCTCAGGCTAGAGGTGGATGTATCCATGTGTGAATTGAGGGAGCAGAGAGAAAACTTGGTCTAGAGATTATCTCACACATCTCTCCCCCAAAGTCACGTTGCATTCTTACCTTGTGGCCCAGCGTATCCTTGCTCTCCTATGCTCCCTTGGTCACCTGGTGGTCCAGGTGCCCCAGGTAAACCATCTTGACCTGGTAGGCCACATGACCCTTCTTCACCTTTTCTCCCTAGATAAATACAAAGTATGTGCTTGTCCTTCATGTGGCTGTATTTAAGGTTATACCTTGTCCAAACACAAAGTCAGCAGAACAGACACTAGGACAGGGAGGTGCAGAACTGCTTTCTGTTGGGAATTCTCTTCACAATTTACCCTGTGAACACAGCAGTAGCTCAGAGGCATGACTTTAGTAACAGCAGCTCCTCAGAAGGTTTTACTTCCTCTCTACACAACTTGTGTGATTTAGAGTTGAAATCAAAGCCCTCACTAGCAAACATTATCATGTCTCTTGTGGAACTGCCATTGGGATCTGTCCCACATAATGAGCTATAACTCACCCTGTGCCAGGCTCTCATCTTTTAGAACCCAACTCAGCAAAGCCCTTGAACACAGTGAACCCCCTTGAAGTAACAGATGTATTAAAGTACTCAGGGAACAGGGAGGGTCTGTGTTCAGCTGCATTTATCCACCCTCCTCAGCATTAACCAGCCCACTGCATGTTTCTGGAGACTGTTAAGTGTTTAAGGGGAGAGACAGGGACACAGAGAAATGACATTGACATTGTGACCCCTTTCAATCTGTTGTCTGAATGGTTGAAATAGACATCCAAGCTTTCAAAACATGAGCCTACCTTGGGATCCAGGGTGGCCTATTGGCCCTGGGAGTCCTGCAGAGCCATCCTCTCCTCTTTGCCCTGCTTCCCCAGGAGGCCCTGGGATTGTAGGGCATGAATCATCTACTTTTCCTGGTTCACCAGGGTCACCTAGAATGTGTAATGGAAAGTAGTTTGGAAGGTTAATAGCTCCAACAGCTTTTGGTTCATAGCGAAAAGTCAAGATAAACATTAGGCATTTTTGGTATTCAAGAGTATACTAGAATACCAAATTCAGTATTTTTAAATCTTGAATTATTGAGTCTCACTGCTTTTAATTTTACTCCTAGTCCTTTGGCACAGCATTTAACAGTATGGCAAGGCAGTGTTAGCAAGTGTATGCTAGGTGATATGTGATCTTTGCCCAGGTGGGCAAGTGCATCATGGCCTGTGTCAGCAACAGTGTGGCCAGAAGGACCAGGAGTGATAGTTCCTCTGTACTCAGCACTGGTGAGGCTGCACTTTGAATCCTGTGCTCAGTTCTGGGCCCCTCATTACAAGAAAGACATTGAGGTGCTGGAGCAGGTCCATGGAAGGGCAGTGGAGCTGGCGAAGGGTGTGGAGCATAAGTCTGATGAAGAGAAGCTGAGTGAGGTGGAGAAAAGGAGCCTCAGGGGTACCTTATCACTCTCTACAACTACCTGAAAGGAAGCTTGTAGCAAGTCTCTTCTCCCAAGTAACATGAGGAAACAGCCTCAGGTTGCACCAGGGGAGAATTATATTATATATTAGGAAATATTTCTTCACGCAAAGGATCGTCAAGCATTGGAACAGACTGCCCAGGGAACTGGTGGAGTCACCAGCCCTGGAGGTATTGAAGAGATGTGTAGATGAGGCTCTCAGGGACATGGTTTAGTGGTGGGCTTGGCAGTGCTGGGTAATGGTTGAATTTGATGCTCTTAAAGAACTTTTCCAACCTAAACAATTCTGTGATTGCATGTTTCAAATATCTGATGTACAATTTGTGCCTTAATATGCCCAAAACCAAGTCAAGTTAAAGCCTACAGTCTACCCAGCTTCAGTGCAGACATCATAGTACATGTGAAGATATACTGTATTTTGCCTATTTTATTGCTGCAAATCTGTCAATAATTAGGCAAAAAAAGCTAGGCCAGAATAGCCAGTTAAAATAAGTATAACTTAAAAAAAATACAGCATAGACACATTTTATATGTTGAAAGTTACTGGGACCTATTGCATTTTGGAACAAAATGTAGTCATAGGAAGAGGTCAGTGTTTGTAGTAATGCAGTGCTTTTGGTAAATTTTTGGTCAGAAAGCATTTTGTGTGAAAACCAAAAAATCAAAATAACAATTAGAAACAAGTGTGTTTTACAAATCTGATTAACATCCTAGCTACTACTTGCAGTCACGCCAAGAATACCTTACTAAGAATGGAATGCATCTCTACATAAGGGAGCTCCCATGAAAAGAACAATAATCAATAGTCATGAACTTACCTATGAAACCTGAAGGGTTTGAAAAATGGGAAGCAGATTGTGGCCATTGTGGTGCAGGTGGAAGCAAGTTTCAGGCATGTAAATTAGAGCAAAGAATGGAATGAGATCTGAAATCACTTACATGAGGTGACATGAGAAACAAATACATAGTTCAGAAATTTTTACACAACTCAAATGAGAAATCAGTTAAATTGGCAGTTGTGGGGGTTTTTTTCGAGGTTGTTTAAATTGTCTGTATGCAAGTCAATGTTAGTATGATTATATATTAATAGAAAGATCAGAGTTACTGTTGAGTGACAATGAGCAACAGGTTCATAAATACCTGTGGGACCTCTGGGACCAGGTCTTCCTTGAAATCCTTGGTCTCCTGGTTCTCCTGTAGCACCATGTGGACCCTGTGGGCCTTGGATTCCCATAGGACCTGGAAAGAAAACAAAAATAAATAAAATGAAGTCTGGCTGCTTGAGTAACAAAAAATGCTTGGGACACCTCAGCTCCGTTGTGTCCCAGAAAGAAATGCACATTTTGTCTTCTCTCTCTGGTCTTGAGCTGAATTAAAATTTACTCCCTTTCTTTCCCCAGAGATTGGGGTAGATGGGATTTTTTCTCCAGTGGGTGGAAGAAGCAGAGTATCTAGATACCTGTTTTCAAACTAGAGAATCTGTTGAAAGCCCAAAACTTATTGATACGGGGCAGATGTGAGACTCTGTGTTAGTTCAAACACATCTGTGTCTCCCACGTTTTTTCAAGACTCTTGCAGAGAGTTCAAGGTTTGCTTTATCTGGCAGACTTGAAAGTTTTACTGCCTCATTCTCAGATTTGTTGGGGACTTTCCTGCAAGTTGTTGGAATGTGAATCTGTCTCTGTTCTCACCTTCTACCCCAACCCTATCTTATCTGTAGGTCACTGGGAAGAGCTATGGATCAGCCCTTCTGCCTGGATCAATCTCCAGTGACAATCCCCTGGGCACAATGCTCAGTTGCATGGGGCTGGGCATAAATGTACAGTGGTCTCAGATCATACCCTTTGGGCCTTCTCTTCCTTGGTTCCCTGAAGGACCTCTGGCTCCTTGCTGTCCTCGCTGCCCACGATTACCTGGAGCCCCTCGAATGCCAATATCACCTGGATCTCCTTGCACAAAGATAGTGTCTCCAGGAGGACCAGGATTCCCAGGATGACCTATGGTAAAAGAACTTTACTCTTAATAGATGCACAAAGTATAAACATCTAAAACCAGCCACATTCCACTGTTGGGTTTTTTACTTTAGATTTTGGGGGTTTTTTTTTTTCATAGGATGTAGGACAGCCCTTGCATGTTTTTGGAAATATTAGCATTAGCCTTTGTCCAAGGCTTTGTGAGGAAGACAATACTAGGAATAGCTCCCAAAGTTATTTAGATTCTGTGCAAGCAAAGTGCTGCAAGTTAGTGGGACATGTATTGAGACACTGTTTCTCTATATTTGATATGTTTATTACAGCATTGTTTAATCTGGAGATCTGTATTTTATCCAGTGTTCACTTCTCTGCATTCACTGAGGTGCTGATGGTTTCTTTGTTCCCTATGCACTTTTCTACATTGCCCCACACACAGCAACCCTGTGATTCCTAGTGGCCTCGGGGGCTTTTTATCTGATGAAAATTGGTATTTTTAATTGTAATACCTCTGATGCCATCTATACCAGGTGGTCCTTGATCACCTGGAGGACCAGGAGATGCACTATCAGGAGGTCTTCCCATAGGTCCAGTGGGTCCAACAGGTCCTCTTCTGCCTGTGGGGTCACATTTTAAAAGAATCAAAAATCTGAGCTTTCTCTAGATTAGACAGAAGTTGCTAAGTAAGGGACATGTGAAGTCATGGAGGTAATGTAAGGTCTCACTTGTACACTGAGCATACAGTGATCAGGGGAATTAAGACATCCCATCAAAGTAAAAATATTTGTGGAGGGGTTTGTTTTTTTAAATTTTGAATTCTTCCCATAAAATCTGTGTAACCTAAAGAATGCTCCATCACACAAGGGCACATTGCCACAAACAGCTGCCTTCTCCTGAACTCCAGCAATGGGAGAAATGGTAACAATGGGGACTAGGAAATCATCTCTCTGGGCCAGGAGAAGTATTCACACATTGTTCCTAGCTAAAGGAAGTTCAGCTGATTCCTAAAAACCTCAGTGAAAAAGATTAATTTACTAGCTTTAAATGCTTCTCCCCCCCCCCCCCCCCAATTTGTAATCTGAATTTTTGCAAACCAAGACCTTAGTGCCCTTGCATGTGACAGGCAGAATGAGTTACAGGTTACCACTCTCTGCACAACATTTTTGAACAGTTGCAGCTTGTTAACACGTGTTGTACTCTGTTGCCTTCTCTTTTCTAAAAAAAACCCCCCAAATCTAGTTTTTTCAGTCTTGTTTTCAACCCCACCCTTCCACTTACCTTTCACTGAGTTCTTCCTAATTTGTCAAAACTGCTCACAGTGTACCATGAAAGGCCTTGCCCAGCCTATGTCTAGCAGTGTTAATACATCAAACTTTTTCTTTTTTATCTCAATAGCAACATTCTTTGACTCCCCCAGACCACAAATTGTAACCGGACCGAAAAAAGTCACCATGTCTTTGTCTCAGATTAATTCACTTCACCAGAATTTCCCTACTGCTGTTTTTCCTGTGTTAGATGACACTGTGGCAAGGTTTGGCAGCTAAACCTAATGTCACTTCAGAGTGAATCTCTGGAGACTTTGTAGTCTAACCCTCCCCTCCAAGCAGGATCAGCTGGAGCAGGTTGCCTAGGACTCAGTCCAGCTGGGGTTTGAGTACCTCCAGTGACAGACACTTCATAACTTCCCCTGGAAACTTGTTTTGAGTATTCAATTACCTTCACTGGAAAACCAAAACTTTCCTTTGTATTTATGTAGAATTTCCTGTATAGCAGTTTGTGCCCATTACCTCTTGTCCTGTCACTGGATACCACTATAAAGAAACTATCTCCATGTCCTTCCCATCAGGTACTTCCCCCCTGTGCCTTCTCTTCTGGGGGCTAAGCAATTCCCCCTCCCTCAACTTCTCCTCAGGACAAGTGCTCCAGTCTCTTGACTTTCTCTGTGGCCCTTCCTCCAACACTTGCCTTTTCCTATTTCTATGCAATTCCCATATCACCAAGCTCTTAAATAAACACAGGAATCTCGTGCTGCAGTTCCATCTTGCATTTACATCAGAACAGTTGGTAGATTTACTGTAGTTCTGTGACTACCAGAACTCCTGCACTCCTTTTCTTCAGGAATTTCTTCCCAAGAGGTAACTCTACCTAGCAGTTCCCTGAGCCTGTCCAAGTCCATAATTTTCTATTTCTGTTCTTTCTTCTCCTGTAACATAATAAACAAGAAATTCTGGGATCTCTGCTCAGGAAACATCAACATGTTATTGCAACAGAAATGTTTTTGGGAAGTAATCTTCTGGGTATCTATTCATGTTCATATCAACCAGGGTAAGAGCCTGTATGAGCTTAATTTCAACTCTGCAGGGCAGTACTAAGAAGAAAATCCCTTTTTACCTGGAAATCCTGGGAATCCCCTTTCTCCAGGGGAGCCTGGAATAGAAATCCCAGGCCATCCAGGTTCACCTCTGTCTCCTTTTGGTCCAGTTTCTCCTGAGTATCCTGGGGGCCCTGTTTGACTGTGACCTTTATAAGAAAACAATTGTGTACATAAAGCTTACAGTGAGTACAAATACAGATGTGCAGAATAGAAATACCAGCTGCAGATGTTCTTCCTTGCAAGGGTTGCCTAGTTCTGTTTTTTCCTGGTTCTCTCTTGTAAGCTGGATAGAATTCTGTTGAATCTGGCCCTAATTCATCTCTTTCAAAGAAAGGAATCTCTCTGCTTTAATGCTCCTCTTCAGGGAATATTTTATATGGTGTCATTACTGTCTGTCACTTGAAATGTAGACTGATGGTGCTAAATTTAATTTTCTATCAGCAAATATTTGTAATCTCTAGATAGATGGTAAGCATTGTTTTTTCAATAGTGCTTCAAAAGCACCTTTTGGAAGCTGCAAATCCATCAGCAGGAGTGAAGTCCATGTTCCTCTGAAGTTTGTGGCACAGCTCCCGTGGACTTTAATGGGGCTGGGATTTCACAAGTCTCCTTTTAATTTGTTAGTTTTATCTTCTACACATAAAAAATCTTGGAGACTTGGCTCTCATTTGAATCATCTGCACTGAACATTTTAATTTTATAAACAGCCTTGAAACGTTCCAACAAAACTATGTGAGTAATGGAAGTTTGAAAGTTTTCCCCACAAATATCTGCAGGTGTGTCATTAGGCATACTTTAGAGTCTGTTCAGAAGTTTAATCTGAGCCTTAATGATATCTTCTGGGCAAGGTAAATACCTAAATAACAGGCACCACTCTTTGCACATTGAGTTCTTTAAGAGACATTCTGTTCCACATAGCTATTTCTCTTCCTTACCTGGAGCTCCTGCAGAACCTTTTTGACCTTTCAGTCCATCCAAGCCATCCAGTCCTGGCAGTCCAGGAAGACCTGAGAGGTATTACAGGCATGACTTGGTGCCACAATACTCCTTTAAAGTCGCAATTAAACATTCTGCCACTTTTTGTCTGACAACTCATTCTGGATCAAGACAAGGTATTTGCTGAATTTAATTCTTATTGGCACCTGGAGATGAGATCCCACCTGAGTGGGATCCCATCAGGCTTTTAGGAAAGAAAAATGTGAAAAATCTGAAAACAGCCATCGAATACAGTTTCACAGCAATCAGAAAACATACCAGTTAATCTTCTAGGTATTTCCATACTGCAGTCAGCAGTAGGAAGCTCAACATGGCCTAATTTATAGTGAGGCTTGTGTCTGTAGCTGGACTGCAACTGCTACACATGGTTAACTAGCCCTACCTTGGCTGTGTGATCATGACCATGACAGGGATGCAGACACTAGCTAAAGTAGCTGTGAAGTTGGAGCTTCTTTACAGCTTCTGTTCAAAATGGAAGTGCAGTTTAATCTAGCTGTGCTAAAAAGAGGGTAAATTTTCACCTGGCTTCTTTTCTGTGGTCAGGTAGGTTTCCCACAGAAAACTAGACTTCCTTGCCTCACACTATTATAAAAATCCTTTGAAGTGAACAGCACAAAGTCTTTGAAGACAACAAATCTGTAATTGAGACCTATGATGACACGTGGTAATATAGAGAGCAGTGATGTTCACTAGATGAGCAGATCACAAACTGAGTGTCTGTGGGAGTCAGATATCAACTTCAGCTTTATCATCTGTGCTTTTTTGCTAATTGCTAAAACACACTAAGTAAAAACATAGACAGCACTTCTGAATCCATTTTTTTAAAAGTTGAACTAATCTGAGATGGTGTTTGTTGTTTGCAATGGAGAGTAAAAATATCTGCATGTCATTAGCACTTTATTGTTCCCTATGTTGTATAGATAAACTATCAAATGTGAAAATGTGCACTTATTAAATGCAGAGAGAGCAGTCTGTCACCTGGTGACAGGAACAGAACTGGCAGAGCTGATGGCTCATGTGGTAACAGGTTTCAGATAGAGAAACAGATTTGGGAAGCCTCTTGCTATCAAGATGTTCCACAATACTGTCAGTGCCTTTTCCTGTGTCTGTTCCACCTCTGCTGCTCATCTCTGCCTCATTTCCCTACCCACCAACTCCCCTACCTGCCATGCAGGATTCCCTGTTCAGGTGCAGTGTTTCTTTTCCCACATGTCTGAATAATTATTATTTCTCTTTGTCTCCTTTTCCCCGTTTAGCTACTTCCTGGCGTAGAAGATGTGATAGGAGAAGGGGTAATGGGTTCATGTTGAAGGAGGGGAAATTTAGGCTAGATATTAGGAAAAACTCGTTTCCTGTGGGGGTGGTTGCCCAGGGAGGCTGTGGCTGCCCCAACCCTGGCAGTGTTCACAGCCAGGTTGGATGAGCCTTGAGCAACCTGCTCTGGTGGGAGGTGTCCCTGCCCAGGGCAGGGGTTGGGGCTGGATGATCTCTGAGGTCCATTCCAGCCCTAAAATTCCAAGATTCTGATATGCAGATTCTCTGTTTCATTGCCTGTGCTTGATCCCAGCAGGTCCTGCAGCACACCAATCTGCTATATAGCCATAGCATGAACCTTGGGAGAATTCATCGCTCTTCTTAAGCACTTATGAACGGATTTGTTTTTTTAAAGTTTACAAACTGGTGAATTTTTGGCAGAGATAAATTGCTGTAGGAACAGCAACACAAATGCCCTTCATCAACTGCTTTGCCTGACAAATTTAAAGGTCCCTAATTCAAAGATGGATCATCTGAGAAAGAGAGCTCTAGTGCTTTGTTTATTTTTGCTAAACAAGTGCAGCAAAAATCAGAATCACTTAGCTTTGTTCTCAGAAACTGTTGAATTATTTTAGTGAAAATTTAACAAAGAATGAATTTAAAGGGAAAAAAAATCCACCCCAGAGGCTGTAGCAAACACCAGTTTGGAAAAATTTGAAGTCCAGAAGATAGACTGAAAACCTGCAAGACATTGATAATATACTCTCTATGTAATCTACTTTCTTATATGGGATACTAGTAATCCAACCTGTAATATCTTCTATGCCCTTAATTAAGTGTTCTTTAACTTTTCATGACAGTCTAAGTTTCAGCCCTGCTTTCTGTAGCCTCCTTGTGCTCTGGACATATTCCCATTTTCAAATTTATCTAAGAGTTGAATTTGGGGAATTTAACAGTGGTATTTCAAAATTATTATTAACTCCTAACTAATTTTGGCCTCCAGGTCACCAGTTAAAACTTTTTTTGATCTTTGGCTCATTCAGGCAAGATGGATGGCTTGGTTTACTTGCTTTCCAGGGAATTTCTGACACATTTGCCAACAATCCATTATAATATCAGCACTTGTAATTCTAGATTTTTGGATTGCTGCAGTCCCATATTTCTAGGTACAGCTGAATTGGCTGACCTATGTGTGAACTGCTGTTTCTGTCTTGCACAGCCCAATTCAGCTTCTACTTATACAAGTCATTCTGCTGATGTTCTTAATGTTATTTGCTCCATCAAGGATTACTCACACAACTAAGGCTTGCCAGACTAAGCCCTTAACTAGTAAAACTACTGTAATAAAGAAAAAGTGATTATGCTTTGGTAGATGCTGTTTAACTACTTTTATTTTAAATCTAAAAGTTCTCATGGCACAAAACCTTTAATGTAAATGGGAACCAAAGAGACTAACAAGTTTGTGTCCTTAGCTATGAACAGCCAATTAGCCATTTCACTTCTGCTCCAACAGCACTTACTGAAAACAGCACTAAGATCTCTATTCTCCAATGGAATTGGAATATGAATATCCTTCAGTTTTCATTACTGGTTGTACTTTCCATGGTGTTAAACTTCTTTTCAACTATGCTGGCAATATATAGAATCCTCAGGCTTAGGAGGCAATGTGGTCTCTAATGAATTGCCATTTGGAACTGAACTTTTCCCTCTGCAGTGCATGTGTGTTAATTTATGCTCCTGTGCAGGACTCAGGATAACTTCTGCACAGTATAGAAAAGTGTCTTGCCACTTATGACAAGATGGAAAGAGTCACAGAATCATTTAAGGGTTGGAATGGACCTTACAGATCATCTAGTCCCAACCCCTGCCCTGGGCAGGGACACCTCCTCATGAGATCAGGTTGCTCAAGGCCTCAAAGTCCATCTGCTATGAAGTTTTCAGCAGAAGAACACTTTTGGGGGTTGTTTTTTTTTTTTACCTCTTTCAATTCAGACATCCCTGGTACTGCCTTTATTACAGCAAATATTGTTTGCAACACTGAAATGTTCCTTGCACATTATGCAGCAGCAAGGAATCTGTCATGACAGTTTAAATCAGCAGCACTTATTTAATACTGCAGGCAATCATAAACTCTTTCCATTTTTCATTCAAATTTTCAGTAGTTTACAAGAAACAACCTCAAATTTTCCTTAGGCTGAACTTGAAAAAGTGAATCTATTGTCCTCTCTAACCATTTAGCATAGCCCCAAGTGTTACTTTACTGTGATTTCTGTGTATGGGCCACTAATATTCTTCCTCTTTGGGAACTGATTATGAAGCACATAACAGAAAGAGGATACATAATACAGAGTTGATAACTTTCTTTATGAAAGATTAATGTAGCTTGCAATTTCAGTTCTGAGCATAGTAAAAGGTAATAAAGTTCTCCAACAAAAACCACTGTATAGATGAACTACTGTTCAATCTAAAGACAATAATCATTGTGAGAAGTGGAAATTAGGATTTGGAGGAAACACTTCTATATTAAATCCAGCAAAAATCACTTTTGGGAGAAAAGAACTCATCAAGAAAATCAACAGTAAAAATGAACTCGTGTTATCAGAATGTGTTAAAACAAATTTGCAAGACAAAAGTGTCCCTAGCAGTCTGCTGGGTTTGTGGAGTAACAGTGGCACTCCATGGTGAAAAGGTAGAACACAGCAGAACTGGAGTGAAATTGAAACAACTGAATTACTGCAAACTCCTTTCTCTTCCCTTAAGTGCTGCTATCAGTTACATCAGCTGAGCAAGACTCTTCCTACCTTCCTCCTTACTCATTTTATATTGCAGCATTTGTGTTACTTTTCACAGGTAATAGGAACTGGCTGAATTCTTCTAGTAGCTTATGAGACCATAGGATCCAAATCACAGTCACACCCATTTTCACTGCCAAAAGGGTATTTATGTCTGGTATTGTTACATTACAACTAGAACTACTTACCTTTTCTGCCTTGGGATCCAGGTAACCCTTGCAATCCTGGAGGTCCCAAAATTCCTTGTTTCCCTTTCTCTCCAGGTTCTCCTGGCAGTCCCTGAGGACCTGCAGCTCCTGGGGGGGGGGGGGGGGTGGGGGGGGAAATAATCAATCTGTGAATATGCAAGTCTATTAAACTGCTGATTTTTCCCCCCATGCTATGCAGCACATTGCATTAATCAGCAGTACCTGGAAGTGTTTGGGGATGCACAAAGAACTGATGGATGTTGCTCTCTGAGACTAAGCACACAACTGCTGCTGTCTCCAGGTACAGAAATAGCTCTCAATACACCCTATGATTTCCTATTTCTCTAGCCTCCTCCAAGTGATGCCTCCTCAACTCCTCATATCTCTTTTGAGCTATTACATGGCACTATTTTTTAAACTTTGGCATTACCTGGTAATCCAGGTATTCCTGGGTATCCAGGGTCACCCTTGGAACCTGGCCTTCCAGGCTGTCCTTGGATACCTGGGAAACCTTTCTCCCCTGGGAATCCACAGAGCCCTTAAAGAAAAAAAAAAAGAAAAAAGTAATCTAGCATTATTTGTTTGAAGCTCCCCATTCTTCATTTCATGATAGGTTAAAAAATATAAAATTTTAGTAAGGAGTTTATGAAGTAGAAAGAGAATCTTATTAAAATCCTTCAGATCCCTGTACAAGTCTGTGAGCAATGTGAGCTGTGCAGACCTCACTGGTAATTCCTGACACAGCAGAAATTGCCACAACGAGAGAGTTTGATTCTAGCCAGTGTTGGTGAGTCCATCAGTGCTGCACTAGACAGCAAGAGAGTTCACCTCCTGTGCTCATGCCAGCTGTATTGCACATTGTGATGCTTCTTCAATCCCTGGGCTCATCCCTACAGAACTGCTCAGTATGCACAGAAAACTTAGAGAAAATAAGTGAAGTCCAATTCTTGTTTCACTCAGACAGAGGTACCTGGTAATCCTGGATCTCCACGAGGCCCTTTTCGACCGTGTGTGCCAAGCAGAAGAGTTGGGTCACCTCTCTTGCCTGTTGAGGTACAATGACTTTCATTTTAGACAAGTATCCTTTTCATCCACAGAGCCAAAGCTGACAGTTTTGTAAGATCAGAAAATTTACTACCAGATATTAACAGCTATAAAAGGGACTGAGAGAGCACGGAATGAAGATTGTTCTGGCACGTGCAAATTCTGAGAGTTCACCCTGATTGCATTTTCTCTTATTTAGAGTTTCTGATTGCATTCTCTCTTATTTGATTTGACAAACTTTCCGCAAATATAGTGACACACTATTTTTGCCTTCAGGTAAGTCACACTTGTTTGTAATTCCATTCATGTTTTAAGAGAAAACAGGACAGAAGTGGACATTTTCTAGTGAGTCCTCCCCATCTATTGCACATGCATCTGACCAATATTGCCCTTTTCAAAGGATGTTATATAAACTCATTACCTTTACATCCTTTTGGGCCAGTCAGTCCTGGATTTCCAGGAATTCCTGGTAAGCCAACATCACCCTGATATTGAAGAAAAGAAATACAAAATTTTGGACATATGATATGTGCAGCAGGA